CCCTTTTCTGAACCTTTTCTAGTGCCAGTATATTTCAATCAAACCAGTTCAGCCATTTGCAAGAACGAGTCTAGGGAGCAATACATTATTTTGCCTATGTTAAAAAATCCTGGTGACCCTTTCTTTGAACAGCACTAGTGCCCCCATTCTTTGGAACAGGCACTTGAAATTTGCCTGGGGGTGGGGGGTGGGGGGGGGAAGGGTTGGCCTTTGTATCAGGAATGTGCATTTTGTTACCCCAACAAAAATCCACCAAAATTGTGCCAATTTATAAGCCTTTGGAAAATTTCAAGAAATTGTACTTTACACATGCTCTGTGGAGACTTGCTAGAGTTTAATAGCTAAAATCTCTGAAAATTCCATCCTCTCTGAGCATGCTTGAGTCTTTTACAGCTGCTAGCACTGACCACACTGTGCATGCATCATCCCTACAGAGCAACGGAGCATTCTCCATCCCCTCACAGCTCCTGTGAATGACTGAGCACATTCTCTCCAGCCCAGGGCTATAGGAGCAAAACAGGTCTGTCCCAATAATGACTGCTCTGAGCTGAGGATGGGCCAAGCAGTGGAACTGGGAGCATGGAGCCTGCCTTTCCAGTGTTCTCAATGACTCCTCCCAGACAGTGTGGAGGAGGAGACCATTTGATTCAAATGCAAAGGGGACAAGAGCCAGACTTAGGGTGTTGCAAGGGAAGGCTGGGGGAATAGAGTGGAACAAGGAGCCTGGGTAGTGTGGACTAGGCCTGGAGACTTGTGGGGGTGGTAGAGACTGGGTCTGGGAACTAGGGGGACTGGCTGGGCAAGAAGACTGAGCCTGGGAACCAGTGGTGCACTGAGGGACAGACCTGGAAAGAGGCCAGAGTGTGGGGGAAGAACTGGAACTGGCTAGGCAAAAAGATTGGGACAAGGAGCAAGGAGAGGCCCGGACAATGGGACTGGATGAGAAACCCACAGAGGGAGACTGGTCTGGGAACCTGACTTTCCCTGTAATTGCTGCTCTGAGTCAGACTGGGGCTGGGCACTGGGAGTGAGAGCAAGTAGTCTGTCTCCTGTGCTCTCAATGACCCTCTCACTGGCACTCTGGCAGCATAAAAGAAAAAGTTGTCTGGTGAGACTGGACTGGAGGTGAGAGGAAAGAAACTGCCTGGGAGCTGGGAGGAGAGGCTGAAATTAGACTTGACGAGGCTGGGATAGGTTGGGCAAGGAGACTGGGACTGGAATTCAGTTTTGCTAGGGGAAACATGGAAATTGTACAATGAATTGGGGGGAAGGGGAGACTGTCTGGACAAGGAGCCTGGGACCAGGAACCAGTGTGTGAGGGAATGAGAATGAGGGCAGGAAGAAGGGGAGACAGATCTGATAAGGAGTTAGGATGCAGGAGCAGACTGGGGAATGGCTAGGCAAAGAAACGGGAGAAGCAGCCAGGGAAAAGAGAGGTCAGGGCAACAAACTGAGGATGAGGTGGGTGCGGAGTCTGAGACGGGATGAGGAGCCTGGAGAGGGGAGATTAGGAGTGAAAGCCAGTGTGGGAAAAGAGACAGACAAGATGCAGAGCCAGAAGGTAGGAACTGAGACTGGGTGTAGGGAAAGGGAGAAACTGGGAGTGTGTGTGTGGAGGTGGGTTGGTGGGAATTGGAACTTGGATAGTAAGCCAACATGGGGAAACTAGACTAGATGGTCAAAGATATTGGGATTGGGATGAGAATCCTGAGGGGTGGAGATTGGTTAGGCAAGGAAAATGAAACTGAAAAAGGGAGCCAGGGGCAGGGACAGAGACAGGTTGGAGGGGAAAAGGGCAGGAGGGATCAACCTTAGGGGAAACAGGCAGAAGAATCTGTGCCCACTAGAGCACACTTCCATCTAGAGCTTTAAATAGAACCGAAAGTTCCGGAGTTTCACTATTGCTCTGCTGTCAGCAAACAACTGACAAAGTGTGTCTCTCATCACCTACTAGTGCTGGTCCATGAGAGCGGTCTGGTGCGGCTTTACGTTTGTGTGTCCTTGTCTGTGAGGAGCTTGCTTTTGAAGATGAGCTTGGAGAGGTTGGGGGGTTATTTGAAAGCTAGAAGGGGTTCAGGGAAAGATTTCTTTCAGGATGGGGTCCACATTTAGCATGGGTTGTAGTTGTTTGATGATACCCTGAATGGGTTCCAGTGTGGGGTGGTAGGTAACAACTAGAGATATGCATTCTCAGAAGGGTGTTTATCTCTGTATGAAGCAGGTTCTCTTGGGGTATTTGAGTTGCCCATTCCATGATGTGACCTACTTCTCTGGTGGAGTGTCCTTGTTTGGTGAAGGTGGTTTTGAGTGTGTTAAGGTGTATACAGGGCCAGTGCAAGGAAGTTTCACGCCCTAGGCGAAACTTCCACCTTGCGCGCCCCCCCGCCCGGAGGTGCCCCCCCCCGCGGCAGCTCCTCCTCCCCCCCCCGGGATGCTGTGTGGCAGCTCCCCACCCCAGCTCATCTCTGCTCCGCCTCCTCCCCGAGCACGCCGCCTCTGCTCTAATTCTCCTCCCCTCCCAGGCGTGCGGCGCCAAACAGCTGATTGGCGCCGCAAGCCTGGGAGGCAGGAGAAATGGAGCGGCGACCGCGCGCTCGGGGAGGGGGCATAGGAGCGCTGTAAAAAAAATTGGGGGTACCGCTTTTTGGCGCCTCCAAATCTTGGCGCCCCAGGCAACCGCCTAGTTCGCCTTAATGGTAGCACCGGCCCTGGGTGTATATCCTGGACTTTCTATTTGGAGCATATTCTGTGTAATTTGAGTGGTTGGTGGCAGATAACAGATTTCTTGGGGTTTTTGGGGTGGTGCTATGGATCTATGAAGGTAGGTGTGGTGATCCGTGGGTTTCTTGTATACACTTGTCCATAGGGTTCCATTGTTGAAGCTGATCGTGGTGTCCAGGAAAGTGGGTGAACAATTTCCACAAAGTGATCACTCTATATCTGACCTATCAGTCCTCATCCAGAAGGGAAACCTGCACAACACTTTCAAAACACAAGCTTGGGAGCTTAAATTCATAACTTTGCTAGACACTAAAAATCATG